CAGTTTCCTAAACACAAAACCTCTTCTGTAGGCATATGATTCGGGCTGGGAATGCCCTGTTTGTGCAAATAGAAAAAGATGACCTTTCCTCTGCGGGATGCAGCCTCTGTCTGTACCACGATACAGAATTTGGAGAGTAGAGCCTTGGGCTGCATTTGCAGCCAGGGCTGCATCTCAGCCGGGCTTTTTGCAGGAAACAAGCTGTGTGAGGCAGCCTTGGCTGCACAAGCCTTTATCAACAGCTGGAACAAAGCTCTTGGGGCATGGGGCAGGGGAGACTTCCAGGTGACAAGCTACCAGCAGACCTTCCTGGATGACCTCTGACCCTAACTGACCTAAGGATAGACATAGCCACTCTTTCAGCATTTGGAGGGGAGAAGTGGTGACCATCTGACCAGCAGGCAATCCTTCCCCTGTGATTCTGTCCTCCTACCCCAGCCTTGCTGAAGATCCGATCCAACACGGGCCAGTGTGCACAGCCATCCCGATCCATACAGACCATCTGTCTGCCCCCAGTGTATGGAGATGCCCGTTTTGGCACAAGCTGTGAGATTACTGGCTTCGGAAAAGAGAATTCCAGTAAGTGACATTTGGGGCTGACTCTTGGGGAAGTGTTGTGATCTGGAAGTGAGCTCAGCGTGATCAAGGGAGGACTGTGGAGACAGAGATTGGAGCACCACCGAGGTGGCAGATGGGTCCAGGGATGGAGTGGGGAGCGTTGTTTAGGGACTGATGGGCCACAAGGAGGAATAGGTGGGGGGCGAAAGACTTTAGGTGGGGTAAAGGCCCAGATTTGGGTGAAAAAAGAGTAAAGGCTTTCCCTGGTAGGGACAATTTTTGGTTCCTCTCCCTGGCAGAGTCCACATGGACAGACACATCTTAACTCAAACTCCTCCCTGTGTCCCCCACCTAGCCGACTATCTCTATCCAGAGCAGCTGAAAATGACCGTTGTGAAGCTGGTTTCCCACCAGGAGTGTCAGCAGCCCCACTACTATGGGTCTGAAGTCACCACCAAAATGCTGTGTGCCGCTGACCCACAGTGGGAGACAGATTCCTGCCAGGTGAGAATTCCACGCTCCCTCTTCTCAGCCCACAGTGTGCTCCCCAGAGCTC